CAAAGTACCACAGGCCTTTCCTACATGATGCTCAGAGTCCAGGGTTTAGAGGGACAGACTATACTTAGGGTGATGTATGGAGGAATGTATCTACAGTACTTCAGAAGACTGCAGAGGGATGAGACAGAAGTCTAATGGTATAGGAAGGAGTGGGGAGTCTGGGAGTATTCCCTGGAAGACAAGCCACTTGAAAGAAGTACAGACCTTGAGATGGACAAGAAGGAGCAGCAGCAGTCACGGTGGAAACAAATTGTTGAGCCTGAGCAAGCCTGACAGCCATGACTGGTTGGTTGTGAACGGGTATGTAGTAATGGCAGAGGCAGCAGCTGCCTACATTTGGTGAGAGCTTGAATTATGTGTTCATGTATACATGTGGGTGGGGCAAGGGAGAGATGTGTTCTGGGAGATGCAAACAACTGGAAGAGTGGGGCAGAGCGGAGAGGAGGGACGGAAAGAATGTTTAAAGAGTCACCCTCCTGGGCAGCAGTACTTTAGGAGAAGCAGCCTGGGAGGGATGGTTTGAGAGTAAGGAATTCAGAAGTAAGAGAAAGTAGAGCAGGAGTTTTTGTCACTGTGAGGTCTTTAGGAAACAGCAGTAGGTCCTGAAAGAGAGAGTCAGCTATGGTGGTGCTCTTCTGTTTTCCATGAGGGATCCCAGCTGGAATGGACGAGCCTGTGAGCATGTAAGAGGCGGTTAGTGCAAGAGTGTCCTTGGATGTGTGGTCCTCCTTCACTTTCTCCTCTTTACCTCTGCTGAACTTTTCAAGTTCCTGGCCTCTAGGTGTTGCCATGCCCTGGGACTTAGTCTCTATCTTCAGACTCACTCCTCTGTCCATGGGTAAATGTCATCGGTACACTGATGCCTCCACAATTTATATCTCCATATTTCCACTTTAACTGGCACTATGAACTTCAAACTCATATATGTAACTCTTTCCTTGACGTGTCTACCATGATCTAAATGGTGACCAATGAGCATGTCAAAAAAGAAGTGATTTGTTCTATATCTCCTCCTTTTGTGATTTCTCCAACTTTGTTCATTCTGAAGCAGAGTCGTACACACACACACATATTTTTTGTTCATTCTGAAGCAGATGTGTACACGCGCACACACACACACACACACACACACACACATATAGACAGACAGACAGACTATATATGGGTAGAGAAAATACATATTTTTCTTGCTATTCCTCATATTTGATGACAAGTCATCAAACCCTCTCCTACTGTAACCTATGCCATAATCTCAGTTTCTTCCCATCTCCACCACAGCTTCCTCATGAGGCTTGAGCTACTATCTCCCCTTCTGCACTGACTGAGGTTACCTTACTACTCTTGGCACGCTAATTGATAGACAATGTGTGTTTGGTATTAGTTCCACAGAAGGGGAGACTTCATTTCATTCAGTGGTTTACCCGCAGTGCCCACCCCAGTGCATGGTACTCAGAACTCAGTATCTGTGTTGTGTGGCTAAGCTTCTGAGGCAGAGAGATAATAGGTAATCCACTAGAGAATGTTAACCCTATTGTCCTTTCAAGAGCTTATAGAGGGAATGGTGGAGGGGCATATATCTGGACACTGCCATTCATTTGCAGAATCTCACTGTTTCCCATTTTTCTGCTGTAACTGCACACCTGACAAAGGTCACCAGACTGACGAGGCAATGTGCTGTGCCTTCTGGTGTCCACTTCCATTGCATTCTTTCTCACCTGTATGCACCCTTTTACCCTCTGTCCCCATGTGGTGTTTCACAGAATAAAAGGTTAGAAGAACCAAGTTTCTTTACGTCATTTCTACTCATTAGTATTTTGATTTAATTATTTTTTCTCAATACAGGGTCTTACTATATAGCCCAGGCTACCACTGGTATTCACTTTGTAGCCCAGGCTGTCCAGTTGATGATCCTCCTGCCTTACTTTCTTGAGTGCTGGAGTGCTGGACGTGTGCTTCTGCATCTGCCTGGGATTTAGTACATAAATGTTACATTTTTTCTTGAATTATAACTTTGTACTTTAAAAATACTTCTTCCTGAAAGCATGGCATTTATTATAAATTTATTTAGTAGCCACTTATTTGAGGCCCGAAATCTGATAATTGATAAAATGACTTGTACTGTTTGGCCTCCTCCATAATCAGGACACATGTCCTCATACAGCCTCTGCTGGGGTCAGGTCTGCTGCTTGCTGGTGAAACCCCAGCTCTGGCCATGTCTTTCAGTTGACACTTTTTTTTTTCTTAACCCTAAGGAAAAAAAATGTAAGCTCACTTTTTTTTTTTTTTAATTTTAGCAAAATGACTTCCTAGTGAGGTGAATAGCCACACAGGCACTTGATTCTTCAGCAAATCCCCACTGAGAGTTCAGCTGCCTTGGTTTCTTGTTTTTTATTTTTTCTTTTTGTTTTTTTTTTTTTAAAACTAGGAAGTTTTGGCCTGATTCCCAAAGAGGTAGTCTGTTCTCCCTGGCATTTTTCTTTAGGCCTGAGCCCATGGAAGAACACAGTGAATTCTGAGCTGTTGCAGAGCTCACAGTCAGGGATTTTGTCAGGGATGCCCTTCCATTATGGCACGCTGAGGCTGATAAAGAAATCAGTACCTTTTATAGATAGAACCACAGTATATCCTTACTTGGCTATTGAGAACAGAAGGATCTGTGAATCAAAGTTAATATGATTTCTAATTCATGGCGCATTTTATTTCAGCATTTTTAGTTAAGAGTGATACTTCCTCAGTTTCTTGTCCTCACTGCAAATCTCTAAAGATTCCACAGTTTCTGTTTTAGGGTCATTAGAGAAAAATCAAATTTAAGATTTATGGGAAAGGCTTAAATAATCTGGCTTTGAGACATTACCCAAATGGTATTGAGTTTGTCTTTGGTTATATTAAGTTATTAAAAATCAACCCTCTTTGTTTATCACACAGAGGTCACCTGTGAAGAATTATCAAAAGGAGAAGTCTACCAGTAGCATCAAATTTTGCTACTGATAATAGAAAGCTATGGTTATTATCAGCATAACCTTTTCTTTAGTTGAGATTTTCTCCCTGAGATTTCACGAAGTAGAAAAGAAGTCACTCTTGTTCACGTGTAGAGTTCTCTGGTTTCTAAGTAAGGTTTCACAGTTTTTGAAAATTAAGTGCTATCTTTCAGTTTTTAAAGTAGAACTTCAGAGCATCTGATGTTATCCATATTTTTTAATAATTAAGGTAGCAGAGACCTGTTGGCTTAAGTATTTTTATGAGCTTATACAGTGTACTGTAAAGGGAACAAAGAATAAAGTCTTGACTAGGAAGATGATGGCTCTATATTAAACACATGTTCAAAGACATGATTTTGAAGAGGAAATTTTGTAAGACTGCCCAGCTGTGGTCAGGCAGTAGCTAGGTATCGTTCTATCCTCTATTCCTGTGAAGACACACTGGTAGTTTTCCCACACACAGCACCAAGTGGTATAAACAAGCTCAGAGATGGGAACTTCCATTTAATCTGGCAGTAATTTCCCTCAGCTCTGAGAACAAAACTTCCTTTACAACTGTTGAGTTAATTCTCTAACCTAAGACTGTTTTGCTGTTGAGGATTCCGAAAACAAGTATGACCTGAGAATGAAAGAACAGCAGTCAGTGCAGTGGACGTTTCCATCTTCACTGGCAGTGTGAGATACACACGCTCCACCCAGGTCACCACCTTACCTTAGGAGACCCGTACACCCGCACATACACAGAAGCATGCACATAAACACATACACACACAGGCAAAATAATACATTTGTACACACAGAGAAGCATGCACACACAAACACAGGTGTGCACATGCACACACACTCACCTATTTTTAAACATTTAATAATAACATGTTTAAAAAAGAGAAATTGAATAAAGTTGTCTTAACAAGTTCTTTCTTTTCTTTCTCTTTCTCCTTTTCTTTTTGTTTCTGTCCCGTTCTCATCATAGTCTGCCAGTTAAGGATACTTAGAGAGATTATGTGTGTTGTGTACTGGAAAGAAGCCGCATGAGTGGCTCAAAGCAGTGTTGCTGTTGCAGAGGCCTCTGGTGTTGTGCCCATCACCCACATGGCAGCTGCTGGTGACTGCAGTTCCGAGGATCCAGCACCCTCTTCTGTGGGCACTGCACACACGTGATAAGTAGGCATGTGCAGGCGAAACACTTGCATCCAAACAAGCAATATTTGACAATTTATGCAGAAAGTATAAGGGGAGAATGGAATCCATTTTTGAGCAAGGAAATGATGACAGGATAATGTGAATAAAAGAATATCAGAAACTCGAGAATGTTAACATAAAAGACTCTAATGTGGCTTCCCCCGATTAACTTGGGAAAATAACACAAAACAAAAAAACCCCCCCAAAAAAAAAAACCAAAAGCAAACCTCACAACATTAGCAGAACATGTGGGCTAATGGTAACCAGTGGGGCGTTACATATTCAAAGGCAGTAGTTATAAACCCCACGGAAAACCAAGGGGACATGTTTATTACAGTCTGTTCATTATTTTTCAGATATTCGAGACAAGGTCTCACTGTGTAAGCCCTGGCTAGCCAGGAGCTCTGTAGGCCTTCTCTCTAGTATTGTCTCTAGCTTTCCATGATTCTCCTGCCTCTGCCTCCCAGGCTGGAAGTATAGGAGTTTTCCATCATAACAGCCCTACAATCTGTTTAAAATAATAGACCCAAGTGCCACTTTGTTCCAATAAGTAACCAAGTTGGAAAACAGGAAAATTAACATCTGTGTTCCTTAGCTAATTAGATGCATAAAACACTCTTAGGTTGTAGTTGTGTTTTGGAGGTTCCAGAATCAGCTGACCCAAAGAGAGTAAATAAGGCAGTGAGTATGTAGGCTGTTCTTAAGGCGGTACATTTGAGCCTCCAGACATGGCCTTAGCATTTTTGGATATCCTACCTTTCCCTCAAGAATTTATGCTGTTCCATCTTATTGTTAATTGAGTAACTGTGAGTCTCAAATATACTTTGTCTTCATTTTCAGAATAAGGGAAATCCTGAAGGCGTCTAGAAAATTGCAAGGTGATCCGGAACTGCCGATGTCTTTTACTTTGGCCATAGTGGAGTCAGATTCCACAATAGTCTATTATAAACTTACCGATGGATTTATGCTGCCAGACCCTCAGGTCAGTTTTGAAGTGATTGACAGGAAACAGTAGTGGGAGAGAGGCTTGGCCTGACCCTGAGTGTGGATAATTTAATTTTTCTATTCTGTGGAGAATATCCTATTTTTCCAGAGCATTTTGTGCAATCATGCATCTCAGTAACTGCAGTGAAATGGAAAGGCCAATAATGGTTGTAATCAAGTACTTAGAGAATTCTAAGTTGACATTCAGTCAGTAACATTTTAGTACATGTCTGGTGTTTGCTTGCTCTCCATTTGTCTGCCTCGTTGGGATAGTTACATTAAATCCCTTTCTCATTTTACTCTTGCATATGCTCTCTATTAGGTGCGTTCTGACTTCTTCCTCTGTGTTACAGAATATTTCTCTTAGACGATGACACCTGCCTTCCTGGTGCTGATTTCATTCCTGAAGGATTGGCTGTGAGGCTCGTCAGCATGCTTCGTCTTTCTCTCCAAGGCAGTCAGGGCTGACTTAGCTAGGCCCAACCCATAACCTTCCTTTCAGAATAAAACCTTCTCGGATGGAAGCACTATATTGCTTGCAAATATAGTTAGCCTAGAACTTTCTTATCAGAGACAGTACAGTTATATGCAGGTTTACATCAAGGATACATTCAGCATGGTGGAGCCTGGCTGTGCCTTTGCCATCCCACACGTGTAGTCGATAGACAGGTATCTATGAATTAACGGTGCAGAGAAAACACTACAGCAAGAAAATGGACAGAGCATTAACATACGTGGTCATGGATGTTAATAACATGCCAGGCCATGAAAGTAGACAATCAGATTTTGTGGTCCCAGTAGGATGGCAGGGCAGCAAATGGATGCCTTGACCTTCTTCACATTTCATTTGTTATTTGTGTTACTTTTATAATAAAACAGTTTAAATAAAAAAAATCTTGAAATCTGTAGTAGTCATCCATCATTGCATGCTAAAGCTAGCAATGTATAACAGCACATTTATGATCTTACGTTTCTATGGGCCAGCGCAACAGGCATGGGCTTGTGGGCTGCAGTCTCATCTGAGGTGCCACCGAGATGCGCTTCCTCTCTTGGCTTCCTATGCCTTGTGATGCTCTCCGCCTCCGAGGGCATGGTGGAGGCCACATTCTGTGCCTTGCCATGTGGGCTATCCCAGCACAACTGATCTCTTTCTCAAAGCCATCAAGGAAAGTCAGCACATTGGACTTACCATCTCGTGTGATGTCACTGGTCTCCCGTCTCTTTTGCCTTGTTCCTCAGTGAGAAGCAAGTCACGATTCCCACCTACACCCGATCTCATGGTTCATTAGGAAGCAGCAGTGACAGGAATGAGAAAAAACAAACAAAAAACTGACAAAAGTCAGGAGTAGTATGCCGAGTGTGACAGGCTTTTCTTGGTCTGTAGTTGACCTGCATCCCCTTGACCATTCCCGAGACCCACTTTTTCTTGATGAAAGACTTTCACAACTTCAGATTCCCTTTGCTGCACCAGAAGGCTTGAAGAACGTGTTTCTGTGACTCCAGTGTGGCAGTTCGAGATCCAAGAATCCTAAGGGATGAATTCTCACTCTCATTCCGATGTGTCACATTGCACTGCGGTGCTGGAGAAAGCAATCTACATTTCAGACATGTGAAGCTTAAACGTCAGATCACTGAGTCAGAGCTAGCTAACGAGACCAAAATGGCCTTTCAAGTCTAAGGCTGGCACTCAGTTTCACTGTACAGTTTGGATTGTTGATTCCAGAATGTTCTCTGTGGCTTTAAGCTGTTCTGCCAGAGCTTATTACCTGCTAATTCGAACAATGACCTTACACAGTCTGAAGGGAGGGAAGGGAAGTGTCTCATTATAGTGAAACAACTAGGTGAAGTGGCCTGTTTGATTAAGTAACTTTGTAATTGAGTTTACATTAGATTTTACCGTTACAGCAAGAGTCCTTAAGAACAGAACAGGAAACCAAGGCTTAAAAACGCACCTCTGTCCCAATTCCTTCAGTAACTGGTACTTTGCAGACTCAGAGACTATTTGACCAACAAAGCCTACTGTATATAGACGGGTCTCAGACAGTGGCTTGCTTTTTGCCTGGAGGCAAATTTAAACAGTCCACATGGACACCAGAGGGTGCTGTAGGCTAAGCGCATCTCCAGACTGCAGGCTCAAATTAGCTTGTGGTTTTTCTTGAGAAGAGTTCTTGAATTGTTTCAGTCTGTGGGAAGTGGTATAAATAAAAATACAAATAAGTCTTATGTCCCCACACCCCCTCTTTCTGACAGGCCTTTAAAATTACACTCTACCCGCATTAAATATATGAGTTGAGTCAGGCTTTGCTCAAAATGTAAATCTATATTTAAAAGAAAACCTGTTGGGAGAAGGAGTACGTGGGAGAGACTGTCCTCTCCCCCCCCCCCAAATCCATATGCATTTCATTTGTGCTTGCAAAAGCCTGATTTATTCAGTGAGATTCAGGATTAGTTACCTCACACACAAGGCCTCAGCTCCAAAGCTGCTCTGTACTGGCCAAATCCCTACAGTAAGACATGAACTGCTGCTCTATTCCATTTACACTTGCTTCCTTTCTCTCCAGTTGGAAGGAGAGGAAAAGGCTTTGTGGGATTTCTCTCTGGCTGTTCTTCCCTCGAGTTCCTGCTTGGTGTGCCCTCTGCTGGGGAGGCTCAGGGCAGCATGAAGTCACCCAAGTCCAATAGATCCTGACTGATTTCTTTTGTTCTCCTGCCTGGACCTCTTTAGAAGATTCTCTCCACACCACAGGGCTGCTGTAGAGAGCATGGGCGCAGAGATACTTGTGAATTCACAGATTCCAGCAGATGAGCAAGCACTTAACGGCATTCATGTAATCTGTATTCGTTCACTGAAACATCTTTACAGTTTGATAAGCCTGTAACCAAACAACTTAAAGCTTTGCTCGAGGTTTCACCTCTTGTTCAGAGAGTGAACATTTCTGTGCTGAATTCCTCTGTGAGGTCACTTTTTCCATTGCTGCCGCAGCAGGAAACCACTCTCCCACTGCTGTGCGCTGCTTCTTGCCAAGACATAGAGCGCCTGTCAGGAGAGGGTTATCTGGCAACTATATTTTACCTTGAGCCTTTATAGAATAATATGCTGTCTAATCATATGCTTCCTCTTCTTTCTGGCCAATAACTATGCTGTTCCTTACCACTGGCTTCTTCTGCAGTGTAATCCTCTTAATGGCCTTTGAATGACAACTGTATGTGCTCACAAATGGCAAAAGGTGGAAAGATCATATGTCGGTGGGGTTATTATTAATGTCCAACTGGATTATGTGATGATTCTGAAAAACTTTCCCTCAAGTTAATGAAATCAGAATCTAAAGACTGACATTTGTTTTAGGGCTACTGAGTAGAGACAATCTTTTGTTAAAATTCATGTATTTATTAATGTATGAGATATTAGCTAATGTCATAGTCACTGTTGCTGGAGGTCAGGTTGCTTAGAAGTAGAAATTTATTTTCTCATAGTAGAATCTAGAGGTTTCTGAACAAGGATCCTGATGAGCTGATTTGGCTCAAGGCTCTTTTCCTTCTGTCCAGCTCTGTCTCTCATGGCCTGCTTTCTACAGGGAGAAGTGCCCTGGAATCTCTCCCTCTTCTTACAATGGCACGGCCTTGTTATTGGGACCATCACAACCTCACATCCCACTAATACCTTCCCAGAGCTCTACTCATTTCTAAATCTAGTCGCACTGAGGTCTCAGCATGTAAATTTGGGATGAAGAGGTAGGATACAGTCGACAGCAGGTGCTTAGATAATGTGTAGACACAGTGCTGGATCCGTGCCCTCAAGAAAGTCAGAAACAATTGCAGTTCCCATCCCAGACTCCAGACGGATGCTGGCAATGTGAACTGAAGAATACTTGTCACACAGCACACAGAGCATGTCGTTTGTATTGTTTATGTAGTCTTCTTACAGGGGGTGGGGCTCAACAGCTTCTGATAGAGCTTTCAAACACTCATTGTATGTACACATGCTGTTCCTTTCCCCCTCAAAAATGTACATTAGAAGAAATAAAAAGAAACTGGGGTGTACATTGCTCAAGGAGTTTACTGTCTTCTAGAAAAAATGATCTGCGTATGAAGCAAACTGAGAGCACAACAACGGAGGGTGGCGTGGCCATTCTAAATGGTCAATGTGCTGTGCTGTGTCTGCTGTGTCTCTCAGTCCTTGTCCTGAGTCCCACAATAAAGAGGATGCTATTTAGTTATTATTACCGTTAAGCTGTCCTCTGAAGTTGGAGAAAAATTATCACCTTAGTAGTTAAATAAAGGCCTCCTGTGGAAGCAAGTGTTGGGGTGGGCCATTTGGGTAAGAGCCTGTCTCTCAGTGTCTGCCTCACTTTTCAGACAACTGTGTTGCTTCTCTCCCCAGTAATGCACAGAGACATATTAAAGTCTGCCAAAGCACCTTTGGGAGAAAAGACAGTTGAAGAGGGAGGGAGAAAGGGAGGGGAGGAGGGAGGGAGGGAGGG